CATGCCGATATGTAGGGAAATAAAAAAGAGGGAGGTCAAAGTCTGCTTTTCTTTTGGTCAGTCTGACCTGACACCTGGGGAAAGCAGAAGAGAATAGGACTCCTGATCAGCCCTCAACCTCCAACAATGGCCTATCCTGGCTTTGGCAACCCAGGTAGAAATTTGGAGGCATTTTCATTTAGGCCTTTCTCTTACCCATCTACCAGAGTCCTGCTGACTTTACTTCCTAGTCTCATCTCTAAGTTATCCACTTATCCCCCACAGGGTATCATCTCTCCCACTGCTCCCCTGGGTCAGCACCATCAGTTACTTCACAAATGATGCAACGACCCTTCCTTCTGCTCTTCCTTCCATGACAGTTCATCCTCCATACCACAGTCAAGCTTGTTATACAACATAAATTGAATCATGCCATGTTCCTGCTTAAGATCCTCTAATTTTCTTTTTATGGTTTTATTTTTCCTCAGATAAAACTCAAACTCTACATTGGCTAAAAACACTTTCCATGATCTGGCCCCTTTCCACTTCATCTTCTCATTGTCTGAATTTTCTACTCTAGAGTATGGTCTTTGTGGTCTATAAAGCCCTTTCCCACCCTCTGCCATTTGCATGCCTGCCTGGGACCACCTCCCAAACACACATCCTGGCATGGATGCCTGCTGACTCTGATTCTTTCAATGCTTTGCATAAAACTCACTTCCTTGGAGAGATGCTTGCTGATATCTGAGGTAGATTAAGCAATAGGTTCCTCTTGTTAATCTTGATATCCTCTTGGTTTCCATCAAAGCAATAATCAAAATGCACAAAGTTTCTACTCACAGGTAATTCTTTATGGTCTGTTTCCCTCAACTACATTGAAAGATCCACAGAGTAGCAATCACATCTATCTTACTCATTTTTTTTTAGCGTATAACCAAGAATTTGATGAAAAAATGGACGAAGAAGTGGAAAATAAATGGACAAATAAATGAATCAAAGAAAATGGTATGAGAGGAGATGCACTTGATCCTCAGCCATAGGAGACAGAGGGTGGTATCCCAGTATAGGAGGTATAAGGAAACCACTATGCAGAGAAAATGGGACTTCAGTTAAAGAGACTGAAAGTCTCTTTCTATGACTTCTGTCCCATCCGCTGGATTTCTCTTGTCCTAGTACAAGCACAAAACCTAGTGTTTAGATCATTTCTACTAAGAGAAAGCAAGGAAGATATAAACTTTCCAGCTACGATAAAATATCTCCTTCCTCATTCTTCCTGACAGGAAGCATGATAGGGAGTTCCAGTGGCCTCTGAGCACTGCTTCTATGTGTAAAAAACCCCCTTCCTCATGTTTAAGTGTTCTGTGATTCATACTTACGCTCCTGTAACAGTGTCCATGTGCTGGTGGCACAGAACTACAATTCTTCATTTTGAATAAAATGCATCTACCAGCATCATGGCCCTTTGCCAAACTTGTTAATGTTCACATCTGTATTTTTATGAATCAGGTCCTAAAAATTTGCATATGTTTTCAATTTAAAAAGACTTCTTCCTTTCTAGTGGTTTAAGAAATAAACATGATCTTGTGTTCGATGTCTGCCCAATTATGAGAGTTCACAATAAAAGTTCAAATGTTCAAATGTCATGGCAGGTGTGGCACTGGATCTCACAAGGTGCCTAGATTTGGTTCCTCATTGCTCTACCTCACTGAATGTTCACTAAACAAGATACTTCTTGGGGGTCCAAGGGAAGCATCTCCATTCAGTGGAAATGAAGAATTATTTCCTGACATAAATGTTTGCCACATCAAGTGGATTTTCCTGAAGGAAAGTAATGAAGAATTAAGCTGCCATCTTTTCCTTTTTGCAAAGCAAGATAGAAAATGCAGTAAGGGCTCTGAGAGCTCATTTTCACAATCAAAAGTTGGAGGTGTCGAGAGGACAATGATTGAACACACGTTACAGGGATACCCCTGAGGGCAACAACTTGCTGGGAAATGTGACTTTACAGGGTCTCTGCAAGAAAACCAGAAAAATGAGGCAAGCCAAAGGTAAATTCTAAGCATAGGAAAGTAGGAGTGGGGATAAGCCATCAGGGATGGAGAGTAGAGAGAAGTTGGAAACAAAATATAGGAATATATGTCGAATTCAAGCAGCACCAACCACGTAATTTGTGTGACCCAGTACAAAATAAAATTGTGGGGTTCCATGTTCAAAAATTATTAAGAACTTGAAGACAGTGACAGCAGAGCATTAGACCAAGAGCTCTTCTAAGGTTGGGGTTCTTGGACTATATGGGTCAAACACTGGGGTGTGAGGTTTATAGGGAGAAAGCCTAGTTCTAAGCGTTGTCGAAACTCTTTAGAAAATTTCCCCAGTTCACTTTGTCTCAGAAAACACCACTCTTGAATGATCACAGTGAGACAAATAAATCATGCCTGGGCTAGTGTCTGGAAGTGGCAAAAGAAGGAGGAGCTGTCAAGGCTGTTATGTTAATTCCAATTTGTTGTAATTTTTGGAGCGACTTTTCCTAAACTGTGATTCATTTCAGCACCAAAACACCAGATTCAAGTCAAAGACTTCTGATGCTATTATGAGCATATTACTGATGGCTAGTAAAATAACTTCTTGTGATGTTTCTTTTATAAGGGCCATAAATCAAAATGTTCAAAACAGTTAATTTTTAATGTGCCACTATTATCCATCTTTAGTTATAAATTTAATGTCTCGTTAGGCCCAACAGATTGTAATATGACTCAAAACATGCAATGGCTGTTCAAAAGTGGAAGGTCCCACATATCTCATTATTTAAATCCATTAGATATGGTTTTAAAAGCCTGAGGATATCTAAGCAAACTTGTTTAAAGGAGTCATAAAGGAAGATAGGTAGTTTTCCTCAGAAGTCTATAAAATTTATTATAATATTAAAGTAGGATTATATATTGACTAATTTTCAGAAGACATTTGTTTTCTGGGGTATAGGGTACTTGGGGAAATTCATGAAAGAATAAAGGCGGCAGGGGCTTAACACTGTTGTCTCTATTTGCCTTGTGCAAAGGAAGTTTCTCTGGGAACCTCGGCACCAATTCTACCCTGAGGATGACAACACAGGTCCCATCTTAGGGGATGACCAGGTGGATACCATGAATCTTGTGAAAGAGGAATACAAGTATTTATTATTCAGGAGAAGACACCAATACAGCTCAGCATCCTAACACAATGGCAAAAGAAAGAGCTTCATGGAAGAGCCCCAAGTTGGACCTACTCTTCTCAAGGCAACCCCCAGACTCTTAGAGCCTTCCTTTGCCTACCTGTCTCTGCATGCTGTGGGCACGCTTCACATACTCACTTTTTAACATTATAAAATCTTCATTTCTTATTTAATGTTGTTGTAGGTCAATTGACATGTGCATTAGCTTTTCTGCATAAGTAAATGTGATGTTTCCCTTAGAGCTTTTTCTTGATAGGGAGAGAATCTCTCAGATTGGACCTTAGGAATTTTTCTGGTTTCTCCACCTCTGCACACTGATAAGCTTGCCTCTGGAACTACTCTGCTCTTGGAAGAGTTGGTTCCAGTGTTTTTTCCCCTTTACCCAGGAAAGAGAGAAGAGAGATAGATAGGCTGATATGACTGGGCAACAGGTTCTACTCCCAGTAAATGGATCCAGGAGGTATTACATCTTTACCCTGCAGAAAGATGTTGTATCTGAAAATCAACCCCTGTGTATCCTCAACAGGACTGGAGAAAGCCATCTGAGTCATTGGTGGGACCTGCAACAGGTTAAACTAAGCAGTGAAATGCACCAATGAAACTGTCACTTGCGGGCAAAACACACCAGTTATTGTTTTTAAAATTTGCCTGAAGTACCACTATCATGCAATATAAAGGCAAGATTTGAGGAAGGGCACACCTGCTAAGTTATTCCCCCCCCAAATTCCTTTCTAATCCCAAACTTGTGAATTTCATATTTGTCCCAGAAAAAGAACTGCACATTGAATACTTTTTGACCATAAAAAATCACCATGGCACACAATTCACCACATTCCTTGTTCTGAAGAAAATGGCATATACAGTGTCATCAGTTCAACAGCATATTTTATGTAACCATTGGTATATTCAACTCTGGGGAGTTTATGACTTGTTAAACAACTTGCAGTGTCCTGGAGAGGTGTGATTCACAGCAGCAAGTCTCTAGAGTTCCATGTTCCATTTATAACCTTGTGGTAATTACATGTGCCACTATTCAGTTACAAAACAGATAACACAGAAATAAAGGGTGGGTTCTTAATGGCTAAAAATCAACCTTTAAAAGAGCAAAATCCTCTGGAAAAAATGCAATGTACGAAATTTATAATGCAAAGCTCTGTAGAAGCACAATTGTAAAAAAAGAGAGAGAGAGAGAGAGAGAGAGAGATAAGGCCACTAACCTGCCAATACTGATATTTCTATCCTAATTCATTTAAAGAGATACTGTTACCCATTCACCATTACTATGCCTTGATCCTTGTGTTTTCTTCAAAATTGCCATAGAAGAGATAGTACAATCCATTAAATGGGCTTCTTAGAGATGATAGTCTCAGATCCATGAAGATACAGTTTTATTTTCCTTATTCCTTGCCAAACATTTGACACAACCAGAAGGACATGAGAGTCACATCACACTGGCATATCTGGTAAAAGCAAGCAGTTGGCTGAAAAACCGCTACCGGAGAATTGTGACAATTTCTGAGTCCATAATCATGCCTTAAAAAGTGTGTATAAATCCTAGCAAGGGCACAGTTTACATCTTAAATAACACAGAAACATTTGAATCGTGCTCAACCCAGTCCCAACACGGCAGAGCAATAATGTGGTTGCAGGAAGGGGTGGTAGGAAGGAGGGGGCTCTTGGGGGATGGTCACAGAACACAGAAGCAGACACAGGGCACAGTCACAAACATCAGCGAACACAATTGAGCACACATACAATACAACACCAGAATGCAATTTTTAAAAGAAAAATGATATAAAAGATGGTTTCTCACCCCTCAAAACAAAACTGGAACTTTGGTTTACAGGCCCGGCTATGCCCATATGCCCTCCTCGTCATCCTGTGGCCGGCCCGGGTGGGGAGGTGCACGGAGAGGAGGGGAGCACCGGAATGAAAGAAGAGAAGGTTAGTTACACCGTGATGCACTGGAAAGGCACACTGATCTTCACTTTGTTTTTTAACCTTAAAGAGTGAGGAAAAAAATCTATAGTAACTTAAGTTCCACATCACTGACTTGTCAAATACATAACTGAGTTTTGTATCTATGGCAACCCACACACAAAAACATTCCACCCACCCAGCTCTGACTCTGTCAAGATTGGATTAGAAGATTAAAATTAGTCTACATTAGCAGATGATTATATTTTTGGAAAGCATGCAATTTGAATTGCATATGCCTAAGGAGTAGATTAAACCTTTTAAGTAAGCAGAGAAGTAATTATAGTAATCAAATACCCTTAATTTCTCTTAAGCTTAGAGTATCAATAAAGGCTGAAGAAGAATTAAAAAAAAAACCAACTCCATCTACTTGGGTGGAACAAACTTTTGTAGCATGCGATAATCACATCGGTTATTTCACAAAGGCTCAAACATGCTGTGATCTTCTCTATTTGTCAGGTTCTATTTTGCTCTCAGCATAAAAGAGGATGTGCACACCACGGAATGATTATACATTTGAATAGAATGATTATACATTTGCAATCAAATAAGTTTCAAAGAGAGAAAACTTTCAATTCAGTAGAATGCTTGTAGAATGAGAGTTTTGTTTAACTTAGAATTGTGCTCAACTATGGATAAACTGAAACTTATTTGGTCTGAATTCTCATGTTGAAAATCTTTCCAGAATGGCTCTGGCCACTTTCCTCACTTAGTGAAGTGGCCAACAGGCAGAGAAATTCAGTCTTTGAAGACAGAAGTAAATCTACCATCCCAAGGTCCTGTTCTGAACACGGATTCTCACTTTTTACTGCAAAGATTGAAACAAAATGTAGAAGACTGAGTGTCATATCCTGATCTCACGCATAATTTGGGAGCTGTGTTTTTTAATAAATCCCCAATGAAACCACGTTTTGCCATGATTTGCTTCTTTGTTTTGAAAACCAGGAATAGGAAACAAAATAATTTGGATCATTTTCTCACCATTTGGATTCTTATTGCATAAGTTGTAATATTTGTTTGAATCATATAAAAATGCCAATATTTCACCATTTTTGATCTAGAAAAACAGCAATTTAATAGAGTTCAATCTAATCTTGCCAATAGGCTAGGGTAATTTTCATCTATTCAAGCATCAGATCTGTGGTCCTTGAAGTGAGTTTTCATATAATTTATTTCCTTTTATTTCTGTGTATTTTATTTTGTGCCTTAAAAATATTCTGAGAAGAGGGCCAGAGTTTACCAGACTGCCAAGGGCATCTATTGCCCACAAAGGGTTAACAATCCCCAACTGATTTGAGTCCACCAAGTGATTTGCACAGAGTACAAATTGGGCAACTTAGTGTGAACTTGTACTGACAGTTTAGATAGGAATATTCTAGCAAAAAAAAAAAAGGTATAATTGATCGCTTTAGCTGGGTCTTCCTATGTATAATTTATCTGTGTTTTTTAGCCACTACACAATCTAGCAATTGCTTCTGGCAATAAACTTCTCTTTTCCCTATGTAACTTGAGAAATATGTATTTTTACATTCATTAAACTTCCTTTCAGTTACTGGAGAAAAGCAAAGTTAATGTTCCTTTTTATGCTAATGAAGAAGGAAAGTCTACAGCATGGGACCCTCAGGCACCCACAAATGGGTTTCTAGGGTTCTAGCCACCCCTTGAACTTCAGAGAAGAATGTTGTAGGGATGTGTGTAAGTATATTTCTCTGGATGTAGCCCTCGTTTTCATTATAAGGTTTTTGACCCCCAAAGTCACTGCCATAGGAAAACTCCAGGTGCATAGTGACGCTATGACTTGCCAAAGTTACAAAACAAAATAGGAGGCTTTCCCTAAAATGCAGCCCACAGGTCCTACTGACTGCTTCTAAGTGGCTGTAAAACCACTTTCCTTGCAGAGCAGTTTATTTCATTTTGCATTTAAAACTCAACAAGATGTATACATTAGTTTGCTTCAAATCCATTCATAGGGTGTTTTAAATTTTGAAGAAGAAAGAAAAAAAGAAAGCCACTGGCACCAAAATCTACCACTATTTTCTTAACAGTGAAATGTGGTCTAATGCAAATGACTTTTAGCAAATTAAATATATTAAAAAGTGGTAATTAATTATGATTGAAACAGACAGGAGTTGTAGGTTGAAAATATACACTGCCAATATCACTACTGTGCCTCGTCCACCATAGGAATAAAAAGGAGCTCCCAGATGTCCAGGGTTATTAAAAACCAGATGTTGAGATCGACGTCTTGTATGCTGGTGAATAAAGTAAAGAAATATGACAGTCCAATATAAACTTTGCTAACATTTAACATGGCAGAAATGTGGATAAATTCCTTTAGTGAACTTGGAATATTATGCATTTTTTTCAGGTTTTTTGTTTCTAAACTTGAAAGTTTTTAACAGAAAATAGAAAGGGTGGTGGTGGCCATTTCTGGTCTCTCTAATCTTCAAAGCTTAAACATGAATTGACCCTAATCACCAAGTGATCTGGGTCAGAGTGAGTCTGCTTAGGGAATAAAAAACAAAAAATGCAGGAGCTAATCAGAGGGGGAGCTCCCAGTATTTCCAAACATTCACAGCTGTCTAACTCCTGCACTGCTTACTCCTTGTATGCAAATATTAATTTGTTCAGCAATCTTACTGAACAGAAATGTAAATTTGGGAGACAAAAAATAAGAAACAGATAAATGTCGCTTGATCCCTAACCTCATGCCAACCTATCTAGAAATTCTTGGGACTTTCAAAATGCATCTATCAGGTCTGGGAGAGACAGTTTCCTTGTTTTTCTGTTTCCAAATCTACTTTGCAGTGGCTTTTCTGGATGTTGCCTGGTGTTACCTCCCTTGTGTATCCTTCTTGAGTGATTGCTATGCCAGGAGTTGCCAAAATATCTGGATGGGAAGAAAGCCTCTATTCCCATCAGTCATCCATGTGCTTTTTTCCACAGCATCTGGGGATGGGAACATCCAAGGTGGGCTGAAGCCCAAAGCACAGTGACCACAAAACAGCAAATTTTTTTTTAAATTTTTATTTATTTATGACAGTCACAGAGAGAGAGAGAGACAGAGACACAGGCAGAGGGAGAAGCAGGCTCCATGCACCGGGAGCCCGACATGGGATTCGATCCCGGGTCTCCAGGATCGCACCCTGGGCCAAAGGCAGGCGCCAAACCGCTGCGCCACCCAGGGATCCCCCAAACAGCAAATTTTGAATAGTGGGGAGGCTTAGCTATCAAATAACCTCAGGATGAATCCATAGCTCCAGAGATTATATGAGGCCTTGATGGAAATCCTGCAGTCTCAGATGCTGGGCCCTAATGTGATTCTAAATACTAAGATAAAATTCCTCATGGGGATAGGCCACTCACAGGGCTATGTTGATGACAAGATCTAAGAGGGATGAGGCATCACTGACAAGACAGGTGACTTCCTGTTGTGGGGGCCATTTGTTAGCCCCAGCAAAGAAGCTCTGGGAAGGAACTATACAATATCGCATGGTAAACGGCCCAGTGTAAACTTCTAATTGGTCTCTATTTTTAAGTATTATCTATAGCCAGCCAGTAAGCCCCAGCTCATCACTGGATTTTCTTTTTTTCAAAAACACCTACAATTCTCTTTGAGTTAACAGCCAGCTTTTTTCTTGAAATTGGAGGACTAGGTTCCTAATGGGGATTGTACTATCACACCTGTCCTAGCTGAAAATGAGAGTGAAATCATGGAAGTGTCACCTTCAAATCAGCCCACTTGCCTCTGTGAGAATTCAGCTAGCTGTCTCTGCCAGAAAGTTCACCCTGGCTTCCTTGGGGGAAGGGATGCAAAGAGATTGTCCTGGTTATAATAGAGTCTGGTATAGATAGCTACCAGGTTTATCCCTACACCCACTTCAGTCTCTGCCTTCTCTGACACTTTCTGGAAACATCAAGCTCCAGGACTCTGCTAACTTTGGCTGCAAAATTCCTGGAAGTGGGACTATAGTATGTGATTTATGATGTGCCCTGTGTCTGAGTTCAACCAAAGCAGCTCCCCTTGGCATTTCCAACTACAGATTTGGCCAGAGTTGGCGAAGACAAATACATGTGTAAAGGAAAAATATGGGTATGAATCTGAAAAACAGGGGCACCTAGCCTTGTCAGGCACTAGTAAGTTTACTCTCAGAGTCTTCTCTTTGGAGACCTTCCATCCATACCTTTCACCTCTCCTGCCTCTTGTAAAGCTTAGCTAGCCCATGGATGGATTTCTCTGTTCAGGTGATGAGGTCAGGACTGGCTGTAAACTCTTATAGGATCTGTATTTGTTACAGCTTGTGAGGCCCATTTGCAGAAAAGTTTGCTCCAAAGAAGAAGAAAACCCTATCTAGATTCAGACACCTTCTCTGTGTTCTGTTGAAGTATAAATGTTAGCTTATTTCTGACCTGGGCTAGAAATGATTCAGCAGGTATTAGTACCTGTGCAAGGTTAGAGAGAGTATGACAGCGTTTCTGTGTTTCTTCACGGAGTCTTACCACTGCCCCACAAGTGTTGGGAAGCCCTTTGTGCCCCCAACAAGTGTTGGGAAGCCCTTTGTACAGATATAGAAAGGAAGGCTCAGGAAGAAAGATCAGATAGTTCACCAAAGGACACCTGGCTATGGAGCCAGGGTCAAATTCCAGTCTATCTGACCACAAAGGTATACCCTTCTGACATATGAACGCTGAAGCCACAGAAAGAAGATCTGACCCCTGAAGGCATTGGTTGGTTCAGCTTTTCTCAGCTCTGAAGTACTTTGTTTTTTGTTCATTTTTTAAATAAGATTTATTTATTTATTTATTTATTTATTTATTTATTTATTTATGAGAGGCACACACACACACACACACACAGAGGCACAGACACAGGCAGAGGGAGAAGCAGGCTCCATGCAAAGA